ACAAAAAGGTTAGCTGCTCTGCAGAATTTTTATTTTTTGCTTGGAATCACTGTAAAGAAGGTCAGCTAGAGTTGCCGTAAGAGAAACAAAAGTGAATGTTTTGAGGCTGACCAAGAATCCATCATCTGCTCACACTGAAGAGAAAAAGAAAAAAAAAGACTGCAGAGCAATCAAACAGAGAGACAAAAAGATGGGATGTGTTTGGCTTGTTCTCTGAAGCAGAAAGAATTATAACCATTACATTTTTCTAATAAAGCTATTGACATGTACAGAGCAGAGCTGTAAACAATATTAGGCTAATGCCCTCCTACCTTCTTAGCTATGCACAGAGTTCGTAGGCCATCACGGGCATAATAGTCCAGATGCTTCTGTGTTTTTTCTTTTATTCTTTTCATTCTCTTCTCTGCACTAATGTCAGCTGTGAAAAACAAGAAAATGATTCCATAGATCATTTCAGACCTAATGGCCTAAAATTATAAAAAAGTGGGCATTAGAGAAATTGGATTCCAATATAATAATAGCAGTTCCTTTAAAAGCTGAAAAATATTGGCTGTAGATAAGCTGAAAGCTTGCTGAAGATCCTTGTTTCCTTTAAGATAACATTACTTGGGTTTTTTTGTTTGTTTGTTAATGTTATATCATTCTTGCTGACAAGCTGAAATACAATGGTCAGGCCCTTCTGACAGTATTATTGCAGCATACACAATCCACATGGGTTAGCACTGGCAGTGAGTTTTAATTAGCTCATTCCATATTCTAGGCACTACTCATGTTAAATAAATACTTCTGATCTGATCTGCAAGGATAACACTAGAGTAAGCTTATTATTTTTTTATACTTGTAATGTCAAGATACAATATTTCATGCAGAAAAGAGTACTGCAAACTTCTTGTGCTTCTTTATAGGAGACACAACAGAACTAGCTCATTGGCTAATTACCTTTGGCAGAGTCTTCCAGCAAGTCCATTATAACAGAGTCAGCTCCTTTTGTGTAGACAACAATCTCCTTGGTTAGAGGGTGTCTCACCACTACAGACATCCTTTTCCTTACTGAGTCAAATCCCAAAGTGTAGAGAATATCGAAAGTCAGGAGTGTGCCTTGTGGCAACCGTACAGTCACATGTTCGGGAGTTCGGGACACTAAAGTAAAACTATATGCCTGGGCAGCATAGACAAGCGCTGCCTCATCTGGGCTCTCAGCCTCATAACAAAAGTCTGTTGGCAAAGAATTGTTAGTGACAGATTTAAAAACTTCATCCAAGGAAGCACTACCAATATCTGTGCTGCCCTTACCCCGGAGCTCATCACCTCTACTGCTGGTGCAGCAGTCATCATCATTGTCACAGCAACCCAATGCAGCAAGATGTTCCTCAGTGTTCTTTGCATTGAAGCTAGCACCTAGATCTGAACTAGACTGAGATGATGATAAAGACTGACTAAGGCTTGCTAATTTTAGCCGTTGAAATATCTGATGAATCTTCTCCAGGGTGATTCCTGAAGGTTTTATTGGTGGTGGGACTGTGACCTAGAAATATGAGAAAATCTCTGGTTAAAAATAAATAAATGTGAACTACAAGCTACTTTTCAAAACCTCAATTTATTTTTCTGTGGTGGGGGAATTCAGTAAAGGAGTCATAGGTGAGTTGGCATCCAAATTTCATGGTGCTTTGTATCTCTATCTCTGAAGCAGAGGTGGAATCAAGCCCCTTGCAGTTCTGTCCATGGCCTGGGAGATCAGTGAAAACCCAGTATATTCAACATACTTCTTAGAGTATATATAACGTAAAATCTAAAAGAAAAAGTGCAGAACTGTGGTAGCCATAGCTATTCATGAAACATAAAAAGCCTCATTAGGAAGGGATATAGGCAGGGAAACAGTAGATATTACACAAAAGTTAAAAGAACTAGAGAGGAACTCCTGAACAAACTATTTTTCACCATTTCAGGTTTCACTGAAAACTACTCTATGTTGTTAAATGGAAGAATAATCAATTTTCCTCATATAATTAAAATTAGATTACCCTTTGTCTTGGCTCAGTAGCTGTGGAGACCAGGACTGTGTTGCAGATAGCAAGGGCAAGGAAAAAGTCAGTAAGGGATGGAGAAGTCTTCATATGTATAAAAGGAGAAAGATCTTCAGTCTGGAGTGCAGCTTCTCTCACTCGCCTCAGCAGTCTGCTATCGGGAGTCACATCCTTTTCCTGGAAGAGAAATTACTTAATGAGGATTATTCCTATTTACCCTTGTCCTCAAGGAAGAATTATCAACGTGATAGTTTCTTCTTGCCTCTTATTGAATTTACACCTAGAATTATGTAAGGTAAATATATTTTCTACTCAACATCTAGGGAAAAACCTGCATAACTACATAATTAGAAGAAAATGAATCTTGAAATAGAAAATTATTTCAGAATTTTATTTCTTTAGAGATCTACCAGAAATCAAGAATAATCTATACTGTATCCCCCAGCTTTGAAACTGCTGACTGCTGAAGTAAAGGGCATTCCAGATGGAAGTGGACTTGGGATGTTCCATTTCAGTGTGGGAGCTGATTGTTATTTCAACAGAGAATATATTGTGTTTATGGCTTGGTTACAGCAGTATCACTTTTTATTTCCAGAGTAATTTTGCTTTGCACCCAGAAAGAGATGCTGTCTCAGGCATTTCTTCCTCAATTTTTACAATAAATAAATACGTACATACATACTTCATTTGTTTCTGAAAGGTTACTGTAATTTTACTGCCACAGTCTTTCTAATCAAACCTAAATTTGCAAGTCAAACTACTTAACAATGTCACTTATCTACAATTTAATATGATGTAGGCCTATGGGAGTATTACTTGTAATGAAATTTCATGTTAGCAGAGTCTGGTTTGGATTTAATTCAGGGTCATATTTAACAAAAGCTTCCAAATTTAAAAGACATCTTCCTGTGAGCCAACACTTTTGGATACCTTCTTAAGGAACTGCCAAAGTAATTTAGCTGCTTTCTAGTTCATCTCAGCTATGACCCTCTCCTCCTTCAATCTGGCATAGTTTTCTGAAGTTCCCTAAACATGCAACAGAAGTCAACCAACCACCTTCACGGCTGTGTTGTGCTGAGCTGAATATGTTGCATTGTAACTCCTGCTTGCTAAAGTGGGTAGTGATTCTTAAATCATCCTAATAATTGCAAATAAATCTACTGCTCGTTTTGCAGCACAGAGCTCAACTGAAATCCAAGGATGGAACAAGGTTTTACACTTTCTCTGCTGCAGGAGGCTCTGGTTCCTCTGTGTCAGTGTTTTCATGCTTTTTTGTCTTACATATGGGGAAATGTTTTAAATATGATGCAACTCTTTCTCTAGCAAACTGATACATACTGAGGATAAGCCTTATTTTTCAGTTATCTTCTCAGGTCTATTAAAAGGAATTAGAGGGTGAGAAGTTAAAGCTCTCATTCTTCAGAAACCCTTTCACAGTATTGCACTGCAGCAGTCAGTTACTGTGGGTAACTGGCTGTTGCCAATACTATGCTTTGTATATAAAGCAATCCCAAATAGTTTAACTGGACAATTATGATGAGGAGCATATGTGTGCACACACAATTGTTTAAAAAGTTATATTGGAAATTATATTAGATTCAAAACATGAAAGATTAGAAACTCACTGACTGCCCAGCTATTCATATAGTTTTCTCATGTACTGCCACAATTAGAATGAACCTCACAAACCACAAAGTATTACACATGCATCTGTATCCTCAATATCTGCGTCTAGTTCAAGTAAAAAATGACAATGCACTCATGGATATTCCAGTTCATCAGAAACCTTCTGAACTCAAGATTTTCCTCTGGAAAACCATAAAATTGTCAGGATATTTGTGGCCTTAGAGACAGGTTTTAAAGACAAAATAATGCAAAAATCAATATTGATCAGAAAATTTTTTCTCATTTTCTTTTTCACGTTCAGTGAAAACAGAGCTGACCTGAATTTCCGGCCTTATGGAACTTCAGCAGATAAAAAAAATTTAGATGAACAAGTCTGTTCATTGACCATCCTGAATATACATAAAAAACAACAAACAAAAAGAAAATGAAAAGAAACAGCAGTAATAATGATGATCAATTAAATTTACAACCTTTTCAATGTTAGCAATTTTGTTAGTGAAAATGCTATTGTTGTAAAATGACTAGTGTCATTCAGTTTTTAAGATTTCCCTGTTAATTTGATAGCAGTTCTTCTACTTGATGGCACTAAAACCTGATGACAAGAGGACAACTGAAATCTTCACGAAATGCTTCTAGTAGCGAGACACTATTTATTGGAGTTATTAAGTCTAGAAAGAAATGTACTGTCACAATCTTAATTTGTAAGAACACCTAAAGGTAGACCCAGTAAATCTTAATTCTCTATCTTGTTCCAAATTTACTTATTATTTTATATTTTTCCTGCTCTTTTAAAGTTCCCTTACGTCCTCCTGGCAACCATAGCTATGTTGTTTTATAATACATTATTTTATTTTTCTCTCTGAGAAATTGCAGCAGCCACAGGGAAGCACATTAATAAAGTATACTGGCATTGTCTCCTCTTGAGGTACCCAAAGAAACCAATAAGTTGGCCAATGCCACCTTCTAGGTTCAAAAATGAGATGGTGTTCTCTAGTTGGGCTGAAGGCTATCTCTTCAGAGGGCTAGACAGTCAGGATGAGTATCATTTTTGGTTTTCACAGAAGGTGTGACAGAACAGGTACCTGTTCTTTTTCCGACTGCATTAGATACAGACAGGTCCATGAGCAGTGGACATTTTCTACCTGGACTTCAGTAAGGCTTTTGACACTGTTCCCATAGATGGGCTGTTGACTTATGAGCTGGATAAGCAGGCAATGAGGTGGACTGAAAACTGGCTGAATGGTCAGGCCCAGAGGATGGGGATGGTGATCAGCAGTAAAAAGTCTAGTTGAAGGTCAGTGACAAGTGGTGCACCCCAAGGATCAGTACTGGGTCCAGTCCTGCTTAACATGGGAGGAGTGGTCGATGCACCAGAGGGCTGTGCTGACATCCAGAGGGACCTCAGCAGGCTGGAGAAATGGGCTGACAGGAACCTTATAAAATTCAACAGGGAAAAGTACAAATTCCTGCACCTGGGAAGGAACAACCCCAGGCACTAATATATGCTGAGGCAACCCAGCTCAAAAGCAGCTTGGTAGAAATGGACCTTGGGGTCCTGGTGGACACTGAGTTGAACATGAGCCACCAGTGTGCCATTGCACCAAAGAGGGCTAATGGTATCCTGGGCTGCATTAGACAAAGTACTACTATCAGGTCAAGGGAGGTGATCCTACCCCTCTACTCAGCACTGGTGAGACCATACCTGGAGTACTGTGTCCAGTTCTGGGCTCCCCAGTGCAAGAGACAAGAGGGACATAGACATACTGAAGAGTCCAACAAAGGGTCACAAGTATGGTTAAGGTACTGGAATTTCTCTCATATGAGAGCACTGGCACAGGTTGCCCAGAGAGGCTGTGAAGCCTCCATCCTTGTAGATATTAAAAAGTCATCTGGACACGATCCTGGGCAACTGACTGTAGGTGAGCAGTGGGATTGGACCAGATGATCTCTGGAAGTCCCTTTTGTGATTCTGTGTTGTGTTTCTCCCTCCAGATTTTTCATAAATGTTTATGAAAAGAATAAATCTGTCACTATATTTCTCTCTCTCTGACCCCTTAGGAGATTTCTGAAGTAAAGACTTCACTGTTATTCTTTCCTTTCCAGTCCACATAAACTCTAAGTTGTACACAGTCACTGTACATTTTTATGGTATCAACATAAACACTGTAGACTGGGCAGCAATTCTCAACTGGAAGTTTTCAGAATAGATTGCATTTGTGTTCAAACAGATCTGTTCAGCTCATTCGCTAATTTTCCAAGTGTAACTGTTAATAGGTAGGTCTCTATCTCTTTATGTTTAGCAAGAGTAGTGAGAGATATGATTGCTGACAATAAGCTAGGAATTTGCTTTTCAATTGTCTAAGACGTGGTCAAGCTCCCTCCCACTGAATATACTTTGCCATTGAATTTTGGAAGCTGTAACTGGACATAGGATTCCTTATTTCTGATGAACTGCATAAATTTTATGTAAGGAGGCTCTACATATTGCCATGGACCATGAAGTCTATGGACAAAAATATTGGAAAGAGCAAAACCAGAGGGTAAAGCCCTAGGAGTTATGCTCTGCATCATACCTCTGTTACTTTTGCTTCCGAAAAGACAAGCAATGCTATTTAGTTATTCTTCAAGGATCTGCAGGCTCCGATTTAATTAACTTTATCAAATCCATTAAAAACCCATCATCCTCATCTCTATCTCAGAGACACACTGAAATGAACATGTTAATTGATAAGAGCTTCTCAGATTTCAGCAAAACATCAAAACTTGTCAAGCAGAGAATGCTCTCACAAACAGGCAGGCTGAAATACATTCTGTAGCTGCAGAGCTTCCTAATTGCAGAACTGCTCAGAATACTGAGACAAAGTTCAAACACGCTGATTTGCAGGCACAATCAATTACCACTGTACAAATGCACTTAAAATACCATATGCAACCTGCTTATCACCAATTCATGTAAGGCTGATTGAGAGTAAGTAAATTTTGTGATCACTGCATAGATAATTTTCTTTTAAAAACTGTTCATGTATAAATTTGACATTTTTAAATGATTATCTTTTGTTTGGCACGGTTACTTTCTAATTAAACTCTTTACATTTTGTGGGATACTATTATGTTATCGGCCCTCTTGCTTTAAAATTATTTTCTTGGCAACACTTCTGCCATGCAGGTGCTTATAGCAGATGCTGTGCTAACCCTTACCCAAAAACTACTGTGTCTTCTCAGCAGTGCAAAGTTCTTCAATTTTACTGTTACCTGAGGCTACCAGTTTTCATGAATAATTTTCACACAGCTGGCACACCAACCCTTGGAAACTTGACATTTATTAAGAAAAAAGCCAACAACAAATTGTACAATGCCAACTACTGGCCTTTGGACTTTACATTGTTTATTATGTAAAGCAGGTTTTTTTTTCTCTTGCATTTTGTTGATCTGAAGAAGATGAGTCTCACAATTTCATAGTGAGGATTGTGTTTGACAACCATTGACTGCCACTGAATAGTTCAATGCTTTTATTTTAGCAGAGTCATTCATCCAGAAAGGCTCTGCAAGCCTTAAATTAATCAAGTTAAATAGCAATCTTTGTGTCTTCACTCACACATTGTTCAAAGATGTATTTTTCTTAAGAAACTTTGACCACTGAGATACACAGGTAATATCATGGACCTGAATGTAACTGCAGTACTCAAAATGCTTCAAATTCGTAGCAAAGTACATATGCATCAAAGTGATATAAGTTCCAAAGGGCAGGAACAATAGAGACACAGAGAATATTATTATCCTGATTTTACTAATTGGGAATTGGCTTGGCTGGTAAAGACAGATACCATTATGCAGCATATGAAGGAAATCAACATACAGAACAGCCTCTGGGCAATATCTAGTGTCTCCATTTTCACTACATCTTCTTATTTGTCATAGAGGTCAAATGATTTATCCAGATAGAATGACACCTATCAGTAGCTAAGGCTGGTTATTTCCATGACAGCAGCTTAATCTTCCTACAAAGGAGATGTTTGATACTAGTTCCTCAGATACTGCTTTTATAGTGGAAAAAAACCAACCAACCCAAATAACATGGCAGTTTATTTATAGAACAAAATGAAGAGGCCTGGCAGTAAAAAACATAATTGGGGAAATATACTGGCAAGAAATTCCTTTGCCACACTTCAAAAGTCATGACCCATAAGAGGTTCTCAAAAGTCATGACCCATGGGTTCTCAAGAGCCCCTGGAGATGTTCTCAACATCTCAGGAGCACTGGGCTTGAAAATGCTAAGATAACAACTGAGAAAACCCCCATATTACAGGAGCAGGAGGAGTACTGGCTGATATCTACTACATGAGAGAGGAACTTACATCCTCCAAAAAGAATGTCAGTAAGTCAAAAACTGCCAGGAAGAGCAACTGCAGAAAATAAAGTTCTGAGAATTCAGTATTTATTAGATTAAAAAAAAAAAAATAATTAAAAAATCAAGATTTGGAAGAGTTTTACAGGCATTTCATTTTAATTAGAAGTCAATTTTGAAAGTGTTTGACCTTCTCCTAGTGTCCATAAAAGCCTTGTCTAAAATGTCTCTTAAAAAACTTTCAAGAAGAAAAGAACAGTCTGACTTCAATCAGGTTGCGTTAAATTTTGGGAAGTTTCAGATCTAAAATTCAGCAGAGCCCAAGGTTTTTCCTAGAAATGCAATGAAGAAGACATGTACTTCTAAGTCAGTACTACAGGTGAGGCAGAGGCCACCTAGCTACTGAAGGAGTAGAAGACTCTTCAGCATCTTGCAGAGTTCATCTTATAAAGTTCAAGACCTTACTGTGATAAGTCCTTTTAGCTTAATTTCTATTATATTTGTGAGAAGCATCACTATTTTTTTTTTTTTTTTGCCTTGAAAAATGAAATATTTCTGTTTTGACACACTAGCAAACTCCCAGAACTGCTCTGGAGAGTGCAGCTTGGGCATTTTGCATGCACAGAGCAGGGGTGGCTGAACTTAAGAGAGACAGTATGATGCAGTGCTAGTAGTAGAAGTAGTTTGTAGCTTTCTGAGCTATATTCAAACCTAGACTTCAAATCATACCCACTTTCTGACCATCATCTCCCAGGAGGACCTATGCCTCCTGTTTCTGCAAAGCCAGGCCCAGACTCGCATCCCTAGATCCACTAGTACAATCCCAGCCCAGAATCCCCACCTCATTTCCCCTGGCATTTCAGTGTATCAGAACAGTACAAAGAGCTCATTCCTCTTTGTGCAAAGTATCTCTTGTTGTTACAAGTCTCAATCCTTGGACCCCAAATTCATATATCCTCCTCCTATCAAGGAGCCATCACAAAAACTCACCTGTGTACCCCACTCTTATGCTGCAGTCTTTGATACAAGGACCTGGATTCCCAAACCCTCACCTAGCTCCCCCTTGACTGCAGGCTCCACACTCCAAGCTGGGACCCTAATGTTTGTCTCCCTCTCCCCTCTCTTAGCTCCACCAGGGCTTGAATTTATCCTGCCCACTTGTTGGCTTTTCATCACAAAATGCAACAGAAAAGAGAATTTAAAATATGTTAGCTCTATCTGATCGTACTCACAATGGTACTGCTGAATGCCACTTGAGACTGGTTGCTGTCACGACGACCGAGTGACCTGTTCCTTGTATGCCCCTGAAAATGAGCCCTGGCACTCTGGCACCTCCTTAAAGGTCTCATGGTCCTCTGCTTATAAGTGGCTGGTCTCTCAATATTCATGGGAGGGAGAGTAAAATGTTGAAGTTTTGCTAAGTCCTCATCATCTAAATCCAACTCTTTGTGCGTTTCCAGGCGCCTGGCTGTAAAAAGAGAAAATAAAACTTACCTCTTATGTTTGTTTTGCATTTCTTAGGAGGAATTCCTTGGTTGGTTAAAAAACTGAAACAAACTAAACCAAAGACAAAGCACTTGAAAAGCCAGCACCAGAATCCACTTCAGTTTCTCGCAACTCCCACTCTACAATGTTTATTGTTGAAAGAAAAAAAAAATGCATTTTCAAAGCAATCAGTCACTTTTATGGACTTCTGCTAATGCTTGGTTTCTTTAGCTGCATTGTGCAGTTCACTGGAACAGTGGAGTGAAATATGAAAATTCACAGATTTGCTAATATTTTCAGTCACAGAATACAAATATCTTTTTGGCAGCTGCTTGCCAGCTTAATAAAATCCTTCACACTATGTAGAAAGAGAAAGTAGTGACCAAGAATAGGCCTGAGTTGAACCCCCCAGACTGAGAACACCAAATGCCAATAGACTTGAGATATGGACAGATATATAGGCACATATATAGGGTCAACTCAAGAAAATGTGTAGCTGTATCTTTCATATCACACAGAAGACTGTGTTAATTACTTTTTGGACCCATTGAGTTTAATTAGTAAATAATTTCAATTTGTGAGCTTATAAAAGGTTGGTTGGCATTAATTTAGAAACGAAAGAGAAAATGTTCCCTTTGCACTCTTGAGTGGGTACTGAATGCAGGGCAAAGCCTGAGGTGCTTGCAGAGGGAATCGGAAAACTTTTCCCATCTGGCTTCTGAATAATTTAAAGCACCTTCACTTTCATGAATCTCCATAAGAGGAATCCCTCATGAAGTGGAGGCAAATCCACAAAGCTCTACATTCAGTCACAGTCTCAGTAGATTTAAATATTAATGTTTAATTAATAACATTTAGTTGCTCAGACAGAAAAGCAAGTATAGAAAAGTGCCTCTCACCATTTTCCTGATGTGAAAACTCAATTCCATCTATAGTACAGCGTCGGAATACCATTTTGTTTTCTGTTAGTGTTCCAGTTTTGTCTGAGAAGATATACTGGATTTGTCCAAGATCTTCAGTAATATTTAGGGCACGGCACTGTATGGGCAAATCTGCTTCTTCATCAAACAGGTCAATGTCATTGTGAATTAAGAAGACTTGGCCCAACTTGACTAACTCAATGGACACATAAAGAGAAATGGGGATTAAAACCTGAAAGAGAGATTAAATTCTCAGTGAGGAGTGAGACAAGTCTTATTGCTTTCTGTCAGCAATGTCCTGGCATAGATATACTGACAATTTTCTGAATGATAATAGTTCAGGGAAGAAAAAAAATGCTGCACACAACAGGGATGGATAAACAGGGACAATAACAGACAAATTTAAGACAAAATTCCTAGAAGACCAGATGTGAAGATGAGTCTTTCAGAGGATGCTCCTACAAAGCCCATTTTCTGAACTGAGGAACATGCTTGCTCTTACCCTCCTGAAATAATAATGAATTCTTAAGATGCACAAATATTCTGTTTCAGTAATGAATAATAATCCCCCAAGGAATCTCTGAGCAGCTATGAAAGTTATCTTCACACTTCTTCATATCAAATAAATTCTGTCCACTTAAATCTCAGGAGTTACATTAAAAAATCTGAAAGTAAAGGTGATTTTTTTCCCTCCATCCTAATAAAATGTTCTCTCCCAATTAAGCTTAATCAGACTCAGCTATAAAAACATCCTACTTCTAATTTAGCTTGTTTCTTAAGCCAGCTGAACCATACCTAGTTATTATTTCCCATTGGCAAAAATGTCAATTTTTGTTTCACTCTTTTCCTGAGATATTAAGTGGTATTGTTATTTTGGAATTCTGGACATAAGCAGGAAAAAAAAAAAAGCTGACATTTGGATGTAAATATCCTCTTTACTGCATATTTTAGAAAATTTAGAGTTATTTAAAGATAGAATACACGTCCTTCCTATCTATATCCTTGTGGGGTTTCAAAAGCAAGCAAGAAAAATCTGCAGTTAGAAAGACAAAAATAATTAAAAAAGATACATTATTTCACACTTGGATGATTTGAAACACTCCTAGCAATATTTTCAAATAGGATTAAGAAGGTACTGCACAGCTATTAGTTGATATTAATTGCTCATTAGTGATCATACTCAGTTTTGAATAGCTTCTTCCTTGGAGGTGACAGGGAGGTTTTGTCTTTTACCTGCAACAGGATTATCATTGTCAAGAACATGTAGATACCAGCAAGAACTGGAGACAGAAAATCGCCATTCTCATCTGGGACATCATAAGGCGGATGCTCTAAGAAGTTTCTAGTCCAAATGCCATGCCCTGTAGGAAGGATACAGAATACTGAAATAGCAAGAAGGTGATTGACAGATATTCTGAAATTGCTATGATAATTAAAAAGAAAGAACACGTCCAAAGCAACAGTCCCCGAGCAATGCTGTGAATCTATTGGAGAACATAAAGCATATGCAGAGTTCTGTAGTACATGCATACAATTGATATGATAGCAAGAAATGAGTGGTCATGAATATTTTTATTCACCTCTCCTTCAGCAGGTGTCCCCCAGGACTCTTAGCTGTGCACAGATCTTATCTCATTCTACATCTTGCTGCTGGAGGACTCATCTCTACCACCTATCTTTAAAAATCGTCAGTGCTGAAGACTCCCATTCATCTTTTTAACAGAAAGAAATCTTATAGCCTTTACATAGACAAACTGAAATCTTTCTTATCCTTCCTGATCATTTTTTATTTCAATCTGTTTTTGTCAGTGTTGATAAATGCCCTATAATTCAGTCTGGGCAGCTCATTTTTACATTCCCTTCAATTAAGTAAATAACTCAAAATGGCTTCTTCTCCTATGTCTTAAGTATCAGTAGATATCATTGTACTACTACAACAAAGCCTCCATTTCAGAACCTAACAACATCCCATTGTTATTACTTTACCACCTTTCATACTGCCCTTACTGAAAAAAACTTTGCTCAAGGATGTTACTAAATTTACAACATCAGAAACTCCACACAGAGCTAGGAAAAACACCTCACTTTCCCTCATTACATCATTGCTCCTGATGCCAAAAATCTCTATTAGTCCACTTCACATATTCATCTCTGATAAAACCTCTATTAGCACCAGTTAAGAAAGCAGTTGTTTTGCAGCCTCTTCCTACTAAAATGCTACTAAAGGAATTAAAATAATTTCAGCAATACTTTCTGGCCACTAGAGACTGCAATAACATCTCAGCAAGGACAACTGTGCTCTACAAGCCACTTCTTACCCCAATTTTTCACTGACTTGCTACTATTTTACATGTTTCAGTTAGACTATGACCATTTCATATTTTTTTTAAGCCTGAGCAGGTAAATTTTGTTCTAAATGCTGATTTTTGTCTTCTGAGACCACTTTAAACCTTAAATCAAAGGACTTTATTACTCAATGGCCCCTACACATCAGACAAAGACAAGTCTTTAAATCTACATGACAGCAGCCAGGGAACAATGAAAACAAACTCTCTCTCTTCCTTGCACAGAGCTCAGTTGTCAAACTAAAATCCCATTTCTGTGCCAAAAAAGCCCACTGCAACATGAAAGCAGTAAAATAAAAAAAGTGATTAAGTCAGTTCAATTGTTCATTTTTTTGAATGGTCCTTACTTCTAATAGTGTTACAGTGATGACTGGCTGATGTGTCACATCACATGCCTCCAGGTCAGGTTCAGGAAAACTTGATAGGGTCACAAGATTTGACTTTGTTGCTACAAAACTAATTCAGAGCAGTAACACTACACAAATTATCACTGAGATTAAATAAATTAAAAAGAAAAGGGGCTTTGAACACAAAGTGCTCATGAAAACCTCTGTTACCTCTTTAAAGCACTGACCCAGTGCTTTAAAGAGCAGTGGCCCTTTAAAGAGTGAGTGGCTTAAAATTTGTCCCTTTCCTCAGGATTATGAGATCCTATTAATGTTCATCTGCCCGGGACAGACTGCAAGCAGAGCTGAAAGGCAAGCAGGTGCTTACATGGAGTGAAGATGGTGTTTTTGAGATTAGCAATCTAGTAAACTCTAGTCAGCTGACCTCAGTTACTATATTTAAATGTGCTCACTTACAAGGACCTGAGAAAAATGCAGGCTATTCCTACCTAAACTATGAATCCATTTTATAGCTTGCTTTAAAGGGGCTTTTGACAAGGAAGGTAGCTGTGGAGACTGCAAACTGGATGAATCAGTCGTGTGTAGGTCATGGGTTGTTAATTGGGTAGTTCTGGCTAACATCACTCCTTAACATATTAGAGGATGATGTTGCTGAAATGAAGGTAAAGCTACATCATTTTACTTTTGTTGTTATGCATGAGGAACAAAAAAACACTCAGGAAGCACATCTCAATTGACTAGTACTGATTCCTACAATGCATTAACCCAATAGCTTTCACTTGCTTGCTTTACACATATTTTACCACAGTGGAGATGGGGATTATCTGAAATATCTATAGCTATGGCTGAGTTTTTTTCCTTCTGAACTACTCAGATCTGCCATTTTAACTTGTCTTGGAAAGACCTTTTAACTTAACTTGTAAAGACCGAAGAACCTAAAGACCCCAAGAGCCTTCAGCTCTAGATCTGATCTCACTCATGTCTATATGATAAGTTTCATCCACCATTTAGGAAAAAAAAACAATGAAACAGAAGAAGATTTTTGTCAGTGCTTCATACCTATAGCTCCAACAAGACACATCATGAATAGGAGTCCCACACATAAGAAAATATCGATATTCATCCGTCGCTCTATCTTGCTGCGTTTGTATCGAGGACCATTGTTATTTAGCATGGCCTTAGTTTCATGACCTTCAAAACACAAATGCATATTGTCATGTTTACATAATATTTTGTAGGGTTTTTCTTTTAAGTATTTAACAAAATGAGAGCAGGATGCTCATGACTGATGTAAATTTTACTCTAGTTTCATTCAATAACATTATTGTCCATCTTCTCATTTGTCTGAATAGCAGAATATATCAGAGACTAAGTCAAAAGACCTCCCTTACATTACAGATTTTAGCTGTTATATACGTTTTACTTTCCCAAAGACAGCAGATTCAATAGGATTGAATGATTTATATAAATATTGAAATGCCAAATCTCCTTGAATATAAGAGGAAAAAGAATAATAATATTATATTTTTGTATTTACAAATGACTTGATTAGGAGCTATACAGATTCCTGAAACCTACACTTGAATATTTTTCAGCAGCTATTTAAAAGCCACTAAACACATTTTGTGTATTAATTTAAATAAAATCCAACATGTCAGTTCCAGCCGTGAAAGACACTAATGTTACTTAGTTTTTCGCTATGTGGTTGTAAAATGCTAACAAAACAGTAGGACAAGAAATAAAAAAAACCCAGTCCTTAAAACTTACTGAATTAGAATTGAGCTGGTATATTTATAATGGAAAAAGAGGAGTGCTGTAAGAAGTCAACAAACAGAAATTGCTTTTTCTATACTATTAATATTGTCTAAACTGTGGCTCCACAATTGGCATATCTGGATACCATCTGTTGCTATATTAAATCGTATCTTTTATGTTTATTTCTACAGTCATTTTCCTTGCAAATAAAGACCCTGCAGACTTGTATTTAGTTTTCATTTGTATGTGCATGAGAGGGATTGTTTTCCCAGCTACCTTTTTGCTTTGTCTAGGGCAGTGATTTGAACCAAAATCTGGAATTTAGATGTGATTCAATCACACCTACTGAATTCATTCCAAGTTTACATCAGAAGTTATTGAGTCAGAGAGCAAGAAAGAAAATTACTCTCCAGCCTTATGTTCAGGCCATTCACCCAAGAGCTGGGACTCTTGACTTCCTGTTCGAATGAATACGTAATTATTTGCACAACCTGGAGCTATGTTGGTAGGAACAGCTCATACTACCAATGCTCCTTCTTTTTCAACTCATGTATATGTACATAGCCACTTGTTCCACACAGCCAGGTTATTCTGGGTACAACTTGTGAAGCAGGAGATGTATATTCACTCCCATACAGGCAGAAATGAGAACAAAACGCAAGTCTTTCCTTCAGTAAACAAATGCTCTAACCACCAAGCTACACAGAAAGGGAGGGTACTGTGCTATTTCTCCAGCAGTTGTGTGAATCTGGTTCCTCATTTTATTTTATGTCAGGCTTAATGGTATGTTTTGTGTTGAAAACAAAAGAAGACAAAAAACTCTTATCCCTCCCAGAAAATCAAGGAAATGTTTATGGATTTATTCTAGGAAGAAAATGGGAAGAAATTTAATTCCAAACATCAGCTCAATTATTCCCTTCTGCTTCAGCTGACCAACAGGAAAAAGACACAGCTGTAATACAGATATCACCTAGCAAGAAAAAGAGTATCAGAAATAAGAGGAATAAACTACTTTGTTCTCTAATCCTCATAGTTTCATATGCCGTGCAATACAGCACGTCACCTACTGCCCTGCTAGTACCTTGTCTCTCTGTGGATGCTGATGGGCTCATCTAAAACTTCATTCTGGTACTTTATTATTTGAAAAGTGTATAATTCTTGCTGCTGTCCATACCACAGTGAGAAACTATGTTGGTTGTTGTTCTGTAATGAGGTTTTTGTCCATTAGTGCTATTGCTTTGTGCAGAATCATTTAGGTAGCCATGAAAAGTATAACCATATTTGGGTCCCATGAGAACTGCACGGGCTAAACAATCACATTAAGTGATGGCTCTACTCTTCACAAGGACTTCCATTAGAAAGTAGGCTTGAGGAGTAATAGAGTTATAAAAATGGAGAATGTGCCATTTTATAATGTGACTGATCTTGATTGTTCAGAAAAGGTCACAGACCATGATTAAAAGCCAGAATATAATCAATGTCAAAGAACCCTAGAAATGAAGCTAGTACTGGCTCAAGTGAGTCTAATTTTAGAAGAAAAAGAATAAACTTTTATACTGACATTTACAATAAGATGTCAGTTGGAAACTACATTGAAGACTTGCTTAGATCAAAGACACGGTATCTTGAAAATTACTTTAAAACTCCAACTTCTGCTACTAGCAGCTTAAGCAACATTAACAGAGATCCACATTAGGATCTGTGCTGGTGGTCAAAGGGACATACTGGGAAATGAAGAAAAATGACAGGAGAATGGAAGACAAGTTACTCCAATTCTATAGGAAATGATCCCTACAAAGATTTTTATATAGTAGTTACTTCCAAAAATATGAGTGATGGATTTGGCACTGGCTTTGTCTGGTAGGCAACATCCTTACATCTGGTGTTCAGAGATACAAGCAATGAAACACCCACAAAGTGAAGCCTGCTTTGGAAACATATGGGAGCTATAGTAATTTAAAGTCTACTTCTGCAGAAGTGAAATAAAATGGCCAGTTGTCAGGTAAAATAACCTGGATTGTTGAGATTAATCTAAAATAAATGACTCTTGCAAAGATGGTGACTTCTGTTTTCTCTTAGGTAGCTCAGCCTTGAACATCCTGTTGCTGATTAGACAAAACATGACTCTACTGGAAAGATAAAAATAACCAATAATGGCATTAATTGTTATATTTAAATCGACCTTTATTTAATCTAGAAATAAAGAGGGTAGTTGATACTTTGTTTCTGAAACAGAAGAGGGCACAGCTGGCAAAGCCAATGATAAGTCATGCTCACTAAGTAAAAGCAGTGGTAACACTCCAAAAGTAAAAGGTTCTGAGAAAAAGGTGAGCTGACACACCACTGAACCTGGCTCTACTGCACCTATCTGGGCACTGACACTGTCTTGCTTGGTTCATGTCTCCACTGTATGAAATTCATGGTTGCATGGACACACTATGTCTATGTCAGCACAAACCTGTGCTGCTGCCACCTCTTCTGTCACCTCCAGGTGCTATTCTTACTGTCTCCTGTGTCCTGTCCTGGCACTGGCACAGCTTGGCTTTGTGGTGTTGTGGGGGGTTTTTTTGTGTGTGTGTTACCCCCTGCCACGCCCCAAGTAGATCTTCAGCAGCATCAGTTTCTGCCCTGAGGAGCCAGTGAGATCTCCCTTAGGGCAGCTGTGTAGATTTTATGCCAGATAGAATTAGTATCATAATCAGAGCTGCAGAGCTGAGACTTAAACTCACCTTAGCAATTTTTTTACTTGTTTGGATATTTTTGCAAGATATGGCAAAGGTAGTAAGATATTTGAGATACACAAGGATACTATAACTTGCCAGAGACCAAGTGCGGGTCTCCGGGTTTTGGAGATCGATAAGTAATAATACCTTTACTTCAAAAAGTTATTTAATTTTCCCCATGTACTACCAGTTCTTAAAACAAAATGTCAAATTATGTTGTAATATTAGACTGCACGTATTTACTTGAGGGTGTTTACAGGGAATTCTATGTTTAGCCAGATGGAAAATTCATCTTACCTGCATATATAACAATTCCTATTGCAGCTTCAGTATTTCTGATTGTACATCCACGAAGCAAGAGGCTTTCAATGTTAAAACCAATCCGTTCATGATTTGGCTGCTCCCTAGAAGAAAGAAAATAAAATAAAGCAGTGTTTGTTTCTGTTGTAATATAATATTAAACAAAATTTTTGTGTACATGTCTGTTTCAAGTTGAAATCAAGGAACTGTGAAGGCTCTGTTTTGCTTGTATTTCACTCAGCTTCAACACAGATTCCAGTAAGAAGTTGCAGAGAAGTCCAAGTATCTATTTTAAAGATCACTTGCATAGTGTGTGTATCATGTTGCCAATATGAAGCAAGTAGTTTGACTTTAACTTGGTACCTTATCTGGCAGATTCAGTATCTCATAAATGAAGCCAAGATGCATTACATGACTTCATTCAGATGAAATTCTTTTACAAAGCTAAGCAGGGTTTGCCTGCTGGTAGAGGTTCAGATGAATACATCTGCACCCTGCATAAGCTTCTGTGTCTCTGTCAGCCACCAAAAAGCTCCTAATCTTTGTGAACCTCGGCCTTGGTTCACTTGAACAGTCTCTAGGCTGAGGCTCTCTTCCTCAGTCTCACACTGGATGGAAGATGTTTCATCCTAGCTGAAGATGTGCCATCACACATCAGATCCTTCTGCTAGAAGAACAGACCAATGAAAACTTAATGGAAATTATAAGGTCAGTGCTCCATCAGGCAGGGAATTTGTTACTCACCTCTGAAAGTGAAAGCATAAAACTAACTTCTGCTCACAGTTTATATTGTATACTCAGGTAGGCTCATTCTGAGATCTTTACCAAAATGAGATTATTCACTTCAGTTGCTCCATCTGGTTTTGTTATGTAAATATGAGCATAAGAAAGTATTTTTTTATAGAATATATGTCTTTTCCTACTTTCTATTTGGTATTTGGCACCGCATTTACCAGTAAACTGCAGTGTCACTTAATAGAGGGCAAGGTCAGGCGCTATCTCAAAGCTAAGTACAGTTCTATGTCTGTCTGCAGCTGCACATGATTACATGACATCAAACTAGACAAGCAAAAAAGTTCAGGTACCAACAACCTACAGCTGGTAGAACAGGTGAACTTATTTAATAGAGAAGCCTTCTTGCATCCCCTTGAGCAGAATTTGCTGTGGTCAGGCACGTCAGATGGATGTCACTAAGTTCTTTTGTATAATGTTTAGCAGAGAGAGTACTGCTACCATTTTATAACAAGGCAATAGAGCCTTAATAATTTATTAAGGGTTCCTGAAGAAAAATGTAACCTGTTCCAAGTAATTTGTGCTTACAAATTAGCTCAAACAACAGCAGACTTTGGTCTGCTGACCAAAACTCCCCTAAATGTTAGTAAATAATTTTCACTGTGAATTCTTTCATCTACCCCTGAAGCAATGAGAGAAAGGCAACTAATTCCATATTCCACCAAGCAGGTGAGTTAATGAGCATTTTCAAAAGATATTACTGTTGCAGACTTTCAATACAGATTTGAGGATTTTAAACCAGTCCTGGCTCCTAAGGGTGTGTATTTGTGTGTGTTTTCTTGTGACATATCACCTACACTTCTATAATCCCAGTGCTCTTGTGCCATATTGGCAAGCTTATTGGAAGGATTGCTTCAATTTAGATTATACCCAACAGTCCTCAAAGCCAGCAAATACAGCCAGTGATCAATAAATACTTGACCTCTTTTTCGCTTTTAAGATAACACAGTAGAGGAGAAATGACATTGCTATTAAAGGAATCATTCTTACAGGACATAGATTCTCAAAACCAGATTAACCATAGTCAGTGCTAAAGGGGGAGAAACCCTCTGGTCTGCTCATGTCAGAGGATCTGGCCATTTGCAGCCACTCCAGGTACAACACACTCACTGCATTCTTGCAAAGATATTAACTCCAAATTTAGCTGAGGTGTGGGTAGGGTTCTGCCTATCAGGCAATTCTCTGGTTTGCAATGGGAATCAGCATGGACCAACAACTGCTCTGAAGAGGGCTTTGGGAAACAGCTGCCCTGCATTGGAGAATAAGAGAATTTTAGGACATCAGCCATGCCATATAAAATTGCCTTACAGCAAGAGAATGGCCTTAAATCTGCTGAATTTGCTAGTATAGATTTCCCTCTTACGTCTGTGCCATAATTATTTAATGAAGAAGGAACGTAAGGAAGGGAGGATGTGGCTTTTTTGTCACCTACATAGGTTTACACTAAAAAAAAAAA